TTGGGGAATTGGGGGAAGGGGAACAGACAAGTTGCTGTCCTTTTGTCTAGTTGTGGAGGACGTTGCTTCACTGGCCCAAGTTGGCACCATCATTGTGCTCTTCCTAGGTGAGGCAGATCAGTTGCCGGCTTCCGGATGGCCGATCACAGCGGCTGCTTGCCGCTCACGCTGGCTGCTGGCTACACATGGTAGCCCATGGCAACCCACTGCCACAGGGGCTGGTCGCCGGCGACTCACGGCAGCCCAGCTCCAGGTTGAGCTGTTGTTCAGCATCTTTGCTGTAGAGGGCAGTGTCACTGGCCCTCATACGTGGGATCCGAACCGGGGCCCTCTGGTGTCCCAAGCCAGCTCTTAATCAACCCGCCACTCGGCTGGCCCTTACACTTGATTATTGATTAAATAAATAATACTTAAAAACTTATCCTCCCTCTTGAGTTAAAATCTTTTATAACAAGTTCTCATCAAGTTGTACTGTTTTTTCATGCTTTTTGTCTCATGACTTTAGCTTTTCAAAATGTAGGTTTTATGCATGGAAGAACAGATATTATATCCCCAGAATGAGAGCCGCGTAAGTCTTTATTCAATGCTTTGTAAATTACTTACCTTATTATCTCATATTGAAATTTGGTAACCACTGAGCTATTGCAATTTTGTAGGGTGCAATTCTGTGAAGTAGGAATTGTCATTTGAGACTTCTGAAACAATGAACAGATCAAGTACTTTCTTCTGTTCAGATTTAGCTTGTGATCTAAGGAAAACACCTTAACAGCAGAGTAGGCAGAACGAGAATTAGAATCGGAGTTAGAGTTTGGCACTTGTCTTAGTGTTGTCATTGATCTTGTAGCTTTGGACAGCTTACTTTGTTTTATGGGAGAAGTTAGAGTTAAAATAGTGTGAGATGATTCTGTGACTAGATTCAGAATAACCTGTTACTATTTTGAAACTGGAAAGCACCAGGAAAAACCTTTTAATTTGACATCTATCTTTCTATTTGATCATTAGCTATGCCATATTTCTATTTAGTTAATTAAATAAGAGAGCATGGGTGGGAAATTCAACGTTAGATTCCACTTCTATCACCACTTCAGCTGCAACCTCAATACCATTCTAAATGCCAACTCAAGAATCCATCTTTCTCCTTTGTTGCACAGTCACTCTTTTTTTTAAAGATTTTTTTATTGGGGAACTGGGGGGATGGGAACAGCGCTGGGGAATTGGGGTAGGGGGAACAGACAAGTTGCTGTCGTTTTGTTCTTCAGTCTAGTTGTGGAGGACGTTGCTTCACTGGCCCAAGTTGGCACCGTCATTGCGCTCTTCCCGGGCGAGGCAGATCAGTCGCCGGCTTCTGGATGGCCGCTCACTGCGGCTGCTGGCCGCTCACGCTGGCTGCTGGCTATACACAGTAGCCCATGGCAACCCACTGCAGCAGGGGCTGCAGCCTACGCCGTCGCCAGCGACTCACGACAGCCCAGCTCCAGGTTGAGCTGTTGTTCAGCATCTTAGCTGTAGAGGGCAGTGTCACTGGCCCTCATATGTGGGATCCGAACCCGGGCCCTCTGGGGTCCCAAGCCAGCTCTTAACCATTCCGCCACTCGGCCGGCCCCACATTCACTCTTATAACATTCTTTAAATTTGAGTCCTGCCTTCAACATTGGCTTAGCCTTAGTTCATTCCTTCAAGAAAGATTTTTGTCTACTCATTCAGTCATTTTTTTTCCTTCAACCAGTATTTATTGAGTACCAGCCATGTATCAGGAATTTTGTCAGGTACTGGGGATATTGTAATGAACAAGATTGATAAAGTTCCTGCCCTCAGTAGCTTACAATCTAGTGGGAGAAGGTAGACATTAAACAAATAATTACTGAAATAAATAGTTAATTGTAGTAGTGATAAGTCCTATGAAGGAAAAGTTCAAGGAGTTTTGAAACTTAATACCAAGGGTCATTACTTAGTTTATGAGTCAGGAAGGGCTCCCCCAAGGAAGCGATATTTAGGCTAAAACCTAAAGGATGAATAGGAGAGAGATAAGCAAAGGAGCTGGGAAGGGAGGTGAGTGGGGCACTGGGACTAGCAGATGCAAAGGCCCTATCAAGAGAAGTACAGGGTGCTGGTATGGTCATAAATCAAGCTGGTGTGAATGACACGTAGCAGTGAGGACGAGAATGGTAGGAGATGAAGTCAGAGAAGTAAGTAGGAGTCATGGCATTAGGACCTGCAGACAATGTTAAGGACTTCGGACCTTATTCTGGGAGCAATGAGAATCCATAAAAGGGTATATTCTAATATGTGTTTTAAAAAACTTAGTCTTGAACGTAGACAAGTGATTGAAAAGGAGGAAGAAAATGTTTGTGAAGACTAGTTAGGTATCTACTATTATATTATACGAGTATTCCAGACAGAATGCGATTGTGACATGGATTATTAGTGTGGTATTGATGCAGATGGTATAATGTCAGTTACTATGAGATATATTTAGGAGGCGGAATGGATAGGATTTGGTGATTGTCTGTGAGTGGTGGTGAGGTACAGGAAAGTGTCAGTGATGATTCCTTGATTTTTGCTTTGAGAACCTGGGTGGTACCATTACCTGAGGTAAGGAGTACTGGGAGAGGGTCAGCTTTGAGGAAGGCAGATCATAAATTCAGTTTTAGTTCTTAGGAATTTAAGGTGCATGTGAAACCCTGAGTGGAGATGTGAAGTAGGCCGTTACATATATGGACATGGAACTCGAAGGGGCGGTCTGCACTGGAGTATGTCTTTGGGAGCCATATAAATGTGATAGTCAAAGCCATGGGAATGGATGAGCAATTGCCTAGAAAGTATATACAGCAAGAAGATACGTGTACCCAAGACCTAATCCTGAGTGAAGCCAACATTTAAAGATGAGAATGGACAATGATTAATCTGAGAAGAAGCAGCCACCAAAATAGAAGCAAAACTGGTGGAATGTCCTATCACAATATTACTTTGTCTCATTTACGCACATACTATAGTTTCTGAAGGCTTGTTTTGTTAGTTCATCTTACTTATTTATTTATTTTTGAGAGTCACCAAATTGATTATTCTAGTAATTACACTTACAGTTACAAATGAAGCACTTTACTGTTGACAGATCCCTATGCCCACCTTTGTTGCCTGATGATGGATCGTAGACAATATTCAGGTACTTCTAAATCAGATGCAAACTATACGGCTTTAACCATAGCTTTTCTAATTATTCTATGTACCTGAATGTAGCCTTAAAAAATTCTATAGTAATCCATGGTTTAACTGAAATAAGAATTCTATCAGTAAGATTAGAAAAGAGTGGGCACATTCTGGTCTTCCTACATACTCACAGAGCAGATGAACCTTGGATTTAAGACATATATTTGTTAAATTTTAGACTTTAAGTGTGTAGAAACATAGTTTGGCATACCCTTGTATTCTCAGATCCTATTATAGTATGTGGCATGCAGTAGACATTCAGTGAATATATGGTGAATGAATGAATTTTTATAGTTTTCATTTATAAGGATGTAATTTTTAATGGTAGAGATTGCAGAGAGGCAAGTGTTCTTATAAATTGCTGGTGGGCATGTAATCACGTTAATCACATCTGCAAAGATCCTTTTTGCAAAAAAGGCAATATTCACAGGTTCCAAGGATTTGATGTGGATATCTTCTGGGGTGGCCATTTCTCCACCTGCCACACATCCCTTCAAGCTATTTGTCGCAAACCAACTTTGGTTTGAAATTATAACTTGATCATGTTATTCCTTGTTGTGCTCAGCATTAAACTCCAAACTTCAACAAGGCTCTCCATGCTTTGGCCCCTGCTCATTTCTCCAGCCTCATCAACTTGCCATGACCCCAGCACACTCCATCTGTCAACCGTTCTAAATGAACTCTATTTTTTTTTAGTTTTTGTTTGTTACTTGCTTCTTGACCTTTCTTTGTATATTCTTTCTCTTTGTCAGGAACATGCGCATTTCCTTTGCTTATCTAACGGCTATTTCAAATTTTAGCTTAGACATCCAGCTTCTCCATGAAGCCTTACTGGATCACAAAATCCAGATCAGGTATACTGTCCCTATGTCTCCACTTTCCCTATCACAACATCTCTTATTAACTGTATAGTACTTGCCCAGTTTCTAGCCCTAATGGTTGACTATAAGTACTGGAGGGCAGGGGCTCTGCCTGTTAAATCATATCCCCATAATCTAGCTCAGTCACTGGCACAAAGTAAATATTTGTTAAACAAATAAATAATAGAGGGGGAAAAGATGGAATTGGGTTTTAGCTGATAAAATTTGAGGTTTGGAGTTGGTTCATGTTTTCGAATAGATATGGAGGTTGAAAAGAACTTAATCTTTTTCTTGTTCAGGCTTATGAAATAAAGACGCAAAGGTCTGCTGCTCTCTTACCAGCATTCTTGCCTACAACCCTTTCTGCTTTGGATGAAGTCCTGCATGGTGGTGTGGCTTGCGGATCCCTCACAGAGGTAAAGCACTTGCCAGAACTTCTTCCAGGGACCTGTTACCTTCAGAGCCAGGGGAAAAAGTTTAGTCAAAAAACATGGATATTAATCTGAATTAAATTATAAGCACCTCAAGGGCCTGGTTCTCTATTCAGTACCTAGTACTGCTGCTCTGCAAAAAGATGTTAAAAAAAAAATTCTTGCTGACTAATTGGTTGACTTAGGTTGCTGTTTCTTTGAATTAACTTAAACTTAGAACATGATGAATATTATGAAATAATATGGAACAGTTTGGGGAATTAGAAAAGGATTACTACTTAGTGTATTAGGAAGCAAAATTTGAAATTTTTTTAACATGTGGGCAAGTTGTAGTATTAAACTGACGTGAGCTATTTTTACTCCCTATTGCCGATAAAACTTGGTTTTAGGAAGTGGTAAGTATTATATATTGTTGCACAAAAATTACCCCAAAACTAAGTGGTTTAAAACAATAATAAACATTGATTAATTTTGTTTCTCTGGGAATGCCTCAGCTTGGTGATATTGGCAAGGAATGCAGTATCTGAGGGCTTGGTGGGACTGGTTGATACTTCCAAGGGGCCTTACTCACATGATTGGCAAATTGGTGTTGGTTGTGTATGGGAGGTCACAGTTCCTCCCCTGCGGGCTCTCCAAAGGCTGCTTGAGTCTCCTCATGAGGTGATGACTGGCTTCCCCCAGGGTAAGTGACCCAAAAGAAGGCAAGATGGAAGTGCCGATGCCTTTGGTGATTTAGCTGTGGAAGTTATATTGGGTTGTTGGAAAAGTCATGATGCATGTTTGCAACAGATGGCACTAGTTCATTTTTGGAAGTGCTAGAGTCATTTGCATCTGTTATTGCTATATCATTTGACAGCTGACAGTTCTAGCTTCATTCTAAAAAAAAAATTGAGCGATTTGGTTGAGTTTTGGAGATTTTACAACAAGTTGAAGATGGAGGACCAAACTGCATTTTCGCCATATTTTACTGTTTTACTTCCATAAAGGGAAGAACGCACGTCAAGCTTGTGAAAAGTTGCATAAAGTTTACAGTGACAATGCTCTACAAGAACATCAGTGCCAACGATGGTTCATGAAATTCCATGCTGGTGATTTTGATCTCAATGACGCTCCTCGGTCAGGGAGGCCCACTGAGGTTGATGACGACAAAATAAAGGCATTGACTGAGTCAAACCCACGTTACACAACATGAGAGATTGCAGAAACATTGAACATCCATCATTCAAGCATTCGTAACCACCTGAAGAAGCTGGGATACGTAAGCAAGCCTGATATTTGGGTTCCGCATGAACTCAGAGAAGTTCATTTGACGGCACGTATAAACATCTGTGATATGCTCATTAAACATGAAGAAAACGATCCTTTTTTGAAGCGACTGATAACTGGTGATGAGAAGTGGATTGTTTACAACAATGTGGTGTACAAATGGTCTTGGTCCCGACGTGATGATTCGCCTCAAATGACATCGAAAGCAGACATTCATTAGAGGAAGGTTATGCTCTTGGTGTGGTGGGATTTTAAAGGTGTCGTGTTTTTCAAGCTCCTACCAAGGAACCAAACAATCAGTTCGAATGTGTACTGTTTGCAATTGGACAGTTTGAACGAATTCATCATCCAGAAACGTCCAGAGCTTGTTAATTGTAAAGGAGTTGTGTTCCATCATGACAATGCGAGACCACACACAAATTTGATCACCTGTCAAAAATGCTGGAGCTTTGGGCCGGCCGAGTGGCACGTTGGTTGGGTTGGCTTGGGAGCGCCAGCTCTGAGCAGCAGGGCCTGGGTTCGGATCCCACACGGGGGCCAGTAACACTGCGCCCTCTACAGCTAAAATGGTGAATAACAGCGCAACCTGGAGCTGGGCTGCCATGAGTCGCTGAAGTGGGGCTGGCCGGCAGCATGAGGTTTTGTGAGCTGCTGTGAGACCCTGTGAGCAGCCGTCCAATGGCCGGCGACCAATCTGCCTCAGCCGGGAAGAGTGCAAAGATCACAATACCAACATGGGCCAGTGAAGCGATGTCCTCCACAACTAGACTGAAGAACAAAAGGACAGCAACTTCTCCGTTTCCCTTCCTTGATTCCCCAACGCTGTTCCCCTCCCCCCAATTCCCCAATAAAATCTTAAAAAAAAGAAAAACTATTGGAGCTTGGATGGGATGTGTTGCCACACCCACCATACTTGCCTGACCTTGCGCCATCAGACTTCCACTTGTTTTGCTCTCTTCAAAACTCCTTACGTGGTATAATGTTCAATTCAGATGAGGCTGTATATCAGCACCTTGTTCAGTTTTTTTTGCAAATAAAGATGAGGAATTATGAAGCTCACTGAAAGATGGCAAAAGGTTATTGAATGAAATGGGCAATATATCATTGATTGATCTTTGTTCTTTATATAAATAAATGACCTTTGAAAAACATAGACAAAATACATCATGATTTTTCCGACAACCCAATACATCATTGCTTCTCCCATATTCTCTTCATTAGAAGAGAGTCATTAAATCCAGCCCACGTTCCAGGAAAGGGAAATTAGGCTATACCCTTTGAAAGAAGTGTCAAGAATTTGAGGACATTTAAAAACCATTTCAAGTTTTCTTGAAAACTGCAGTTGTGTGCTTACTGGTCCTGATGTGGTGACTCGATAGATCATATTTACCAGTACACTCCTGAGGGACTTCTTGCTGGAGAGTTCCAGGGGAATAGATACTTTTTTCCCCAAATTTTATTGGGGAACAGCCATGGTCATTGGTTACACATTGCTTTCATGCTACAAGGCATCGTTGACTCTTTTAGGGAGGGCACAGCTCAGTGGCCCATGCAGGCATCAAACTAGCAACCTTGGTGTTATCAGCACCACGCTCTAACCAACTGAGCTAACTGGTCACCCCAAGATACTTTAAGCAAACTTCTAAATGAGCACAGACTCTTACATTCTGATAGTCATAAATTTAACTGTAGTTTTTTTTCCTTGAAGATGTGAAACTTTATTTTAGAAGCTAAACCTTATTTCCTATCTTTCAGAAAGATTAAAAAATGTGTGTGTACTGTGCCTAGTAGCTGCCTATTAGATGGTAAATGAATGAGTGAATTAATCTTAAAAAAATTAGAACCTGCTGTTGCAGGTACTGCCACCAGATGGTGCTAAAATCCTATTTTATATAATCGTTCTTGGTATCTAATTGGATCTATGATCGAGTAGGTTTATAAAACAATAGGGATCCACAGTTATAAACTTACTTATTTAAATAGCAAAAAATTGAACTTAAGGAAGATTAACCAACAACTACTACTTATTTTTTAAGTTTTAGAATAATTTTAAATACTTTTTCTCTTAGTTTTTATCATTTATTTCTGAATCCAAGCAGTAGTTACAAGCCATTTAGGTGTTTTATCGTGATCTACTTGGATGAATTGGAATATAAATAACCTGATTGTTTATTAGTGGCAAGTTCTCCACTTTCTGTTTCAGCTACAGGTAGCCTCTTCAGGTTTTTTGGAATTTTTTTCAGCTGAAGACGGAGTTTTTCTGTTTACTTTTTATTAAAAAACAAAATTTTAATATTTTATGTATACAAGATTAAATATATCCTGCATGTGTAAGTTGTGAACTCTTAATGAGACTATGACCCTAATATAAAAACCAGAACAATACCAAAAGTATTGAAACTAACTGTGGACTCCTCCCTGATCCTATCTTTGGCTTTTTGTTGGGAGGTAACCTCCATCCTGAATTTCTACCATTCCTTTACTTTTCCCCCCATAGTTTCCTATACCTATAGTTTTCCTTTACTGCCTATATACGTAGGAGATAATAAAATTTTATTTAGTTTTACTTATATTAGAGCTGTATGAAATCACATATCTGTGATTAAATCACGTATCTGTGATTAAATCATATATTTCTTCTATGAATCCCCTTTTTCACTTAGTATTGTTTTCTAAGATTTATCCATGTTGTTGCAGGTGGCAAGAGTATGATTCACTTTCACTACTGTATCATATTTCATTTTGAAAATATGCCACAATTTATCCCTTCTTTGAGTGAACATTTACATTGCTTCCAGTTTGCTATTAATGTAAAAAAGCTCTGTGGAAACAGTTGCACACGTCTCCTAGATCAGATGTACAGGATTTCTTTGGGGCAGGGATTGGCCCAGTGGCTAAATCTGGCTCATGGCCTGTTTTTGTAAATAAAGTTTTATTGTAACAGCTATGCTCATTTGTTTACCTTTCGTCTGGATGTTTTTGTGATACAAAGCAGAGCTGAGTTAGTTGTGACAGAGACTTCATGGTTTACCTAAAGCCTAAAATATTACTATTTGACTCCTATCTAGGGTATCTACTTTGGAGTGCTTTGCTGGTTACAGGGTGTGCACATGTGTAACTTTGCAGAATCAGGACAAATTGTTTTCCGGAGTGGTTGTGCCTGTTTACAGTCCTATGACTATGACAGACAGGCACGAATTCTTCCTGCTCCATAACTTCTTGCTTTGGTATTATCAGACGTCTTCATTTCTGCCCATCTCTGTGATCTTAGTTTTCACTTTTCTGAGTACTAATGAGCTTGATTACCTTTTCATAAAGCATTTGACTATTTAAAAAATTTTTATTAAGGTACAATTTAAATACTATAAAATTCAACCATTGTAACTGTATAATTCAATTATATATATATCACTACATTTATAGTGAATCATCACCACAATCCAGTTTAGAACATTTCCATCATCCTAAAATGTTCCTTTGTGCCTCTTTATAGTTAAGCCCCACCCCCATCCTCAGCTCTAGGCAGCCACTGATCAACTGTCTCTATAAATTTGCCTCTTCTAAACATTCCATATAAGTGGAATCATATAATATGTAGTCTTTTGTGTCTGGTTTCTTTTACATACCATGATGTTTTTGAGGTTTCACTGTTGTTGCATGTGTTAGTAGTTTGTTTCTTTTAATTGTTGAATAGTATTGTATGGCTATAGCACAATCTG